ACGTACACACACACACACACACACACACACACACACACACACACACACCGGTACAAACCTCAAGGCCAGGCGAGCTAGCACACGCGCGCGCACACACCCACACCGGTACAAACCTTAAGGCCGAGCTAGCATGTACACACACACACACACACACACCGGCCCCATCAACACGCGCGCAAGACCGAGTCACCTCCACTCACAAGCACGTCAAAAACACACCACCCCCGCTTCTCCCCAACTCAGAGAGTTGCGCCAGAGGTTCGGGGGCGTGGCCCCAGGTTTGACCTCGCGCTTCCCTACCGGCGGGAACCTTAGCTCATTTCCGCCCATCCCGTTTCCGCAGGCCACGTAGACACTTCCTTTCCTAATGGTGGTGGTGGGGGACCCATAATGCTTCTCTGTTTAAAAAAAAAAAAATTCTGGTCTGAGGAACCATGGGTCGTGAAAATAGGCCACGTGAACACTCTGCCCTATAGACTTATGACCCAAAGGCTGTCGCGCTTTTGAAGGGTGGGTTAAGAACCTAAGAGGACAGACATGATTGGCTGCAGCCCACACTAAAGAAGGAAGGTGATTGGTTTGTTCCGAACCTTAACCGTGAAGAAGCAGGTTGCTAGCACCCGCCTTTACTGCGGCTAAGTGTCATCGCTTACGTGGTAGGCGTCATCCAATCATTTGGTTATGGAACATTCTAAAACTTAGACAAGATGAATGTGATTGGCTGAAGGGCATAAGCCCGCCTCCAGGGTGACGTGTCTGCCTATGGATATCAGTTGCCAGAGAAACCTGGCTTTACTATGGCGGTTGGAGAAACGGCAGTGATCACACGTCTGCTGCTGGGAAGAACTGGATTCTCGTTTCAGGTTTCGGGGTGGGGGTGGGGAGGAAGGTTTGGTGATTTCCCTTATCTGATATTTAGACAGAATCAGCTAATGGGTTTATAATCGAGCAGAGCTAGTACAAATTCCTGCTCGCCAACGCCCAGCTCAGGCAAGGCCCCTGTTCTTTCTGTGTCTCGGTTTCCATGTTTGTAAAATGGTGATAATAATATATCTACCTCAGACGAGTGCTGAGGCTTAAGGGTAATAGCGCATAGAAGACACTTAATATGAAGTCTGGCTCCTATAGATATTACTGTTATTAAGTAGATAAAGCCTCACGTAACAGAATGAGGAAAATACGTTTAAATTATGTAAATTAGTTCGTTATAGTGCCTTCCTTGCCCATCAGCTTCCCTAGAAGAAATTAGGTAGAAGAGGCATAATCTTTACCGATGAAATAATATATTGAGGTTTGCTTCAAAATAGTGGATATTGGAATTTTCCAAATTGAAAAGTGAAAAAAAAGACAGATTAAGAACGAGAGCAATTTGGAGATCAACCACATGCGTTGAGTAGGCCTTGTTTAGATCCTGATTTGAACACAACAACTGTAAAAGACTAAGATATATCGGGAAAATTGAGCACCGATTCGATATTTTACGGTTTTAGAGAAATTTGTCGTGTTTTAGACGTTGTGATGGCATTGTGGTATGTTTTTAAATTGTCTACCTTGTAGTGATATCGACTGAAATATTTACGGATTAAATAATGTCTAAGATCGGCTTCAAAATACGTTGACGGCTAGGATTTGCTTCTAAATAAATTCTGTGAAGGAGAAAGTGTCGAGGGCGACAGATAAAATAAAATTGGCTTGAAGTTAAAAATCATTTAAGCTTAGTGATATTACTGTGTCTTAGTATATGTTCGAAATTTTACGTAATAAAATACAAAAAGTCAGCTATTCAATGAGCTTAAAAAATCGGGGGGGGGGGGGGGGGGGAGTGGGGGGGGTTTTGTATGAAACAAGATGGCCTTCAGTTGATAATTGAAGCTGGGTGATGGGTTCATGTGAATTCGTAGTACTATTGTATCCAGATTTGTCCTCATTTGATTTTTTTTCCCTCAAAAAGTTAAAAAAAAAAAAAAAAAGATAAATGTACGTGGTTTTAAAGTCACAAGAAAGAAAGAGAAACATTTGTGCATTAATTATCAGTTTGGTGTCCTTTGTGATAAAATGCATTGGTTGATGGAGAAGAAAACCATTGTCTCACATCTTTTTATTCTATGTCCTTTCCTGTCCCCTTCTTTGACCTTTTAGGTCACCATCAGAAAAGCTAAGTTTGTTGTATGGTGAGGATCAGAAGATCTGATCCTGGTTACAGAACCATCCCTCATTACAGAATCTTGGGTAAGTGCTTCCCTTCTCCTGGCCTCAGTCCTCAAACGAGATAAAACCACATAGTCTTCCTAAATGCCCAGGGATATTTTGAAGATTAATAAGCCCCTATCTGGGAAAGCACTCTGAATTCTAATAAGGGAGGGATGGAGCTAAACCCATTGGTACTTTCAGTGTAGAAAGTGGCTGTAGAGGCCGAAACAACAGAGGGCTTGTGTAATCATTTTACAAAATAATGCCCTGTCGTTGATTCCACAAATCCATATATTTATGTTGTTTTTCTTCCTTTGGGGCATTCCATATGCAGCATAAATGAGTGGTTAAGAGCAAATACTGACAACCTAAATTTAAATCCTGGCTCTGCCACTTACTGTGTGATACTGGGCAAGATATTTACTTACTTTGTACCTAAGTTTCCTCATATGGAACATAGAGATAATGGTAGTACCTGCTTCATAGGATTGTTGTGACAATTAAATGTAAAGTACCAGGGCAGTGCCTGGCACATATAAGTGCTTTAATACTGATTAGTCCTCCTGCTACATCCTGTTCAACACACACTTACACATGCTTCTAAAAGCAGTAGATACATCCCTTTGCAGTTAAAAAAAATAATAATACTGTTGGTTTCTCTCTTGATTTTTCCAGAAGCAGCAGTTACCACTAGAACTGAATTCTGACATTTTGACTTCTGGCTTGTCCTTACAATCTAGAAAAATTTTAAGTAGGTTGACCATATTATTGATCAGGAAATTTCTAGGAGGTACAACGTAAGTGGCAGCTAGCAAATCACACCATATTCAGTCTGCTAATAGCTTTTATATCATTCCTCCTTTGTCTGTGGTCTGGAAAATAAAAAAACAACACACTGTTAAACATGAAAGAGATTTCCCAAGATCCAGAAGAGAGACTGGATATAAATGTGACTGACATTATGTATGTACATTTAAAGGTTTATTCCATCAAGCTAGGACATGTCACACTCATTTATGACACACACATACACAAAGATGTTAGCATTTGGAGTCTGCTTTCCTGAAAGATCCATTGCATGCGTGAGGAGATGAAGGAAGTTTTTTCAGTCTCTTGACGGCTTCATTTTCTCATAGAATCACTGTATTTTTCTTCCCTGAAAAAGCTAGGTTTCAGAGGAGGGCATTGCCCTGGTAGAAGAAATACAGTAGGTGGGTAGGCAGAAAACCCCTCTACATGAAGCCATTTGGAGAATGATAAAAGGCTAAAGGGAATGGGGTACTGTTGAGCCAATAGGAGCTCAGAGAAGGCATCAGTCAGGGTGGCCTGAAATAGAGAAAGCCTTAAGGAGGAAATAGATTTTGACTTGGGTTTCTAGGGATGGACAGAACCTAGGAGGGAGGGAAACCAGTCTGAATGGTGTGCCTACAGAGTATACAATAACCAGTCACAACTGTCTGAATAATTCAGCTATATGTTAGATCCATGGATAAGAATAGCTCAGAATATTGTTATAAATTTAAAATACATGTATTTTTAATCACATAATCGATACATGAATATGGTCTCCTTTCAAAATTTAAATATTACAGAGTAGGGTTAGGTTTCTCTTATATCTTACTCATCCCGAGGTAACCACTATTACTGGTTTGGTCTATTCTAAATGTCTAATATGTGTCCCTGTTTAAGAAATGTGCTTGGATGTATACATAAAATACTGTATTGTGTTTTCCTTTTTACACAAATATGTTGTCACATGCTAAGTATTATTTTGTAACTAGCTATTTTTGTTTAATTTGTCTTGTATGTCTTCATGCCCGTTCATAGAGTTCTATTTGATTTCTTTCATAATGGCCTGCCTTTAACTAGCATGATGTTCCATATTATGAAGGTACTACATTTTATTTTGCCAAACTGGAGATTGACTTGTGTTTTACTATTACAAATAATCCTGCATCAGATATCCTTATGTAGTTCTGTTGGTACACATTTACATGTGTTATTCTAGGACAACATTTCTGTTTTTGAGCTATGATAATTAACCAATATGGGATTACTTTGAGAATAATCAGACATATCACTGTGACAACAGATGGCCTAGAAATAGTGATGCCTTTAAGAATTGAATAATCAAAAAACACTGGGAAGAGAGTACCACAGAAGACCCATATTGGTAACTGAGAATGTTAGAAGATTGCATTTCAAACCCCAGGGGAATGGGTGGACTTTTTGTTATATGTTTGGGAAAAGGTTTACATTTTAACACATAAATTCTAGATTGTTGTTGTTGTTATGTTGTTATGTGCCGTCAAGTCAGCCCTGACTCATAGCGACCCCTCCTTGGGTTTCC